CTCTCTCTCTCTCTCTCTCTCTCTCTCTCTCTCTCTCTCTCTCTCTCTCTCTCTCTCTCTCTCTCTCTCTCTCTCTCTCTCTCTCTCTCTCTCTCTCTCTCTCTCTCTCTCTCTCTCTCTCTCTCTCTCTCTCTCTCTCTCTCTCTCTCTCTCTCTCTCTCTCTCTCTCTCTCTCTCTCTCTCTCTCTCTCTCTCTCTCTCTCTCTCTCTCTCTCTCTCTCTCTCTCTCTCTCTCTCTCTCTCTCTCTCTCTCTCTCTCTCTCTCTCTCTCTCTCTCTCTCTCTCTCTCTCTCTCTCTCTCTCTCTCTCTCTCTCTCTCTCTCTCTCTCTCTCTCTCTCTCTCTCTCTCTCTCTCTCTCTCTCTCTCTCTCTCTCTCTCTCTCTCTCTCTCTCTCTCTCTCTCTCTCTCTCTCTCTCTCTCTCTCTCTCTCTCTCTCTCTCTCTCTCTCTCTCTCTCTCTCTCTCTCTCTCTCTCTCTCTCTCTCTCTCTCTCTCTCTCTCTCTCTCTCTCTCTCTCTCTCTCTCTCTCTCTCTCTCTCTCTCTCTCTCTCTCTCTCTCTCTCTCTCTCTCTCTCTCTCTCTCTCTCTCTCTCTCTCTCTCTCTCTCTCTCTCTCTCTCTCTCTCTCTCTCTCTCTCTCTCTCTCTCTCTCTCTCTCTCTCTCTCTCTCTCTCTCTCTCTCTCTCTCTCTCTCTCTCTCTCTCTCTCTCTCTCTCTCTCTCTCTCTCTCTCTCTCTCTCTCTCTCTCTCTCTCTCTCTCTCTCTCTCTCTCTCTCTCTCTCTCTCTCTCTCTCTCTCTCTCTCTCTCTCTCTCTCTCTCTCTCTCTCTCTCCGTTTCTCTCTCTCTCTCTCTCTCTCTCTCTCTCTCTCTCTCTCTCTCTCTCACGCATACACACATATACATCTATATTTTCAAAATAAAGTGTAAAAGTCTAGTCAAAAATCATAAGTTATGCTCAAGACTTATGTATATATGCGTTTCAATCTTTATATTAGTTTAAAAAAAATATAAAATATGCAAAATTGTGAATTATATTTGCGCACGACAGTAATGTGTATGCAAAATAAATCGTATCATAAATACAAATATATGTTGATATGCACTTAATCATTAAATATAGATTATCGAAACAGCGCGATAATAGAAAAAATGATATGAGCGAGATGTTTTACGTAATCGAGGCGAGAGTTCACGGAGATGTCAGTAATCCGTGAATCGGGAATGCCCCTCATTCTATATTACGAAGGCATCGATCTTAACAGCCGTTTGCTGCTGAAAGATAAAGACTTTCTTTGTATTTGTAAAAAAAATAAAAAGCCGGTGATGTCCCGTAGAAATGACGCAGGCTACAGCCTGTAAATCCTAAATCTTATTTAAGTGTCAACCTTTCTCGTATTTGATACATACACACAGAAAAATATTATTCTATTGCTAAGTAAAATGATTACTCAGTTTACTTTACTTCTTTTAAGTAACAGTTATCTTTAACAAAGAATATTTTCTTAATAATAGTCTTAAAATAGACTTGTCACAAATTTTAGAAATACTCATTATCATGTACTCAAAAAAAGTAAATAGTTTCTTTTGAAGAATATTATCAAATTTTATCGAAGGAAAGTCAGATATGGTTAATTTAATGTAAGAAAATTTATTAGATCAGAAAAATTTAATGTATTTCTTTCAATTATATAATTTAATATTCTTGATTGAAATATTAAATTTATTAGGATTCAGAATATATTTTGAATAAATTTGATACTTATGATGAACTTATGATAGATTTGCGGATATATGAACTTATGAAATACTTGAAACAAGTAATATTTACTTGTATATAATATGTATTTTTCTGTGTGTAGTCTCATCTGCGCTCAATGGATTCACTTACTATTTTCTTTTAGTCTTTTCTCTTGTTTGCTTTTTTAATTAATAATCAAAATGAAGCTGTTTGCTTTAAGTTTGACCTTATCTCACTTATCATTACTTTCGCATCTACTGGAAGAAATTAATAGACATAAAACGAAATCTGTAAGTACTTATTAAATACTGAATAATTTACATATAAGATAATTTGATTTAATTATTGTTATAACTATATTACATTACGCAAAAAAAAATTGAGAGAAGGGCCACTTTCTTCCTTCTACAGAAAAGGCAATTTTCAATTGGCTGCAACTTTGTCGCATATAATCGGATTGAGATCAATAAAAAAGCGTTACAAAACTTGAAGTTTCTAGTTTCAGAATCTTTTAGTCGAGTTCAATTCTTTTTATTTGTTACAAAATTACATTATGAGAAAGCGATGTCCGTCAATTGACCAAATTTTTCAAAAGTTTGTCAAAGTGTACCGAAGAAAAAAAAATTGTAGCACAATTTCGTTAACTAGATTTTAAACAGCATAGTTTTATATTTAATTTGCTTTTTTAATGAATGTCCTACGATCTTCTTTCGCCGAGTTATTCACTGAAGTAAAATCGATTTATTGACTTTGAGCTAGTGAAAAAATTATCGCACAGTTTATCGTACGATTATTAAAAAAGCAATTTAAAGAGAATAAAAAAGTAAAAAAGTCGACATTTTAAAATGCACTAATTGCCTTTTCAATCAATATCCATTGTTAAAATGTAATCGTTACTTTAAAATCAAGTAAAAATTGCACTTTTATCCTTTTTTATTTAAATCAATGCAAATTAATGAAAAAACGCTAACATTTTTATGAACTTTACAATATTTACAAGTAAAAAGTATCCCAATTACTCGTGCAAAAGGCCGAAGCAATTAGTGTATTTTAAAATGCCGACTTTTTTACTTTTTTAATAATCATTGTGCGATAATTTTTTCACTAGTTAAGTCAATAGATTGTTTTTATTTCAGCAGTGAATAACTCGGCGAACAAAATCGTAGGACATTCATTAAAAAAGGAAATTAATTAAAGGTTAATTAATTAAATTAAAGATAAAACTCTGCTCTTTAAAATTCAGTTAACAAAATTGTGTTATAATTTTTTTTTCTTCGGCACACTTTGACAAACTTTTGAAAAATTTACGGATTTTGATCAATTGACGGACATCACTTTTTCATAATGTAATTTTGTAACAAATAAAAAGAATTGAACTCGACTGAAAGGTTTTGAAACTAGGAACTTTGTAACGCTTTTCTATTGATCTCAATCTGATTATATGCGATGAAGTTGCAGTCACTTGAAAATTGCCTTTTCCGTAGAACTTTACAATATTTACAAGTAAAAAGTATCCCAATTACTCGTGCAAAAGGCCGAAGCAATTAGTGTATTTTAAAATGCCGACTTTTTTACTTTTTTAATAATCATTGTGCGATAATTTTTTCACTAGTTAAGTCAATAGATTGTTTTTATTTCAGCAGTGAATAACTCGGCGAACAAAATCGTAGGACATTCATTAAAAAAGGAAATTAATTAAAGGTTAATTAATTAAATTAAAGATAAAACTCTGCTCTTTAAAATTCAGTTAACAAAATTGTGTTATAATTTTTTTTTCTTCGGCACACTTTGACAAACTTTTGAAAAATTTACGGATTTTGATCAATTGACGGACATCACTTTTTCATAATGTAATTTTGTAACAAATAAAAAGAATTGAACTCGATTAAAAGATTCTGAAACTAAAAACTTCAAGCTTTGTAACGCTTTTTTATTGATCTCAATCCGATTATATGTGATAAAATTGCAGCCTCTTGAAAATTGTCTTTTCTGTAGAAGGAAAAAAGTGGCCCTTTAATTTTTTTGCGTAGTACATGTATAAATTATAATAATGTTATTAGTTATTCATATTTTTGCAATATAAATGTAATAATATTGTAAACAAGTTTTATCACTATTTTAAGTTTATAGAAAAAATTATCTGTATTACAATATACAAATATATAATATTAACATACGAAAAACTAAACTCAATTTTAATAAAATAAGTATCATTTGTAGCTCACATTCATACATCAGAAATCGATCCTTCTACTAGCAAATAGTAATATACCATAAGCATCTATGGATACCAATTGAAACATTCATCTATTTGACAATGAAGAAATAATTGTTAATTTCTTATTGAAGATGCTAGTATGAATTTGGATCATAATGTCCAGTTGAGAATCCGGTAAGCGAAAGTGATTATTTCAAGGTATACAATAGTTTTGAGTTAGTGACTACGTTCAAAATTTTAAAATTGGTGATAGGTTCTGTTGAAGAAGAGAAACCGATCGACACGTGCAGCCGAATTGTGTCGAGGCCAAGAAGCAATTGTGCAAGAACTGTTTTATCGAATGGTGTCGTGGATTTTTAACAAAGAGGGACCATGAAATACAGCTTTTTCTCAACGCTACCGCTGGTATCTGTTTTAGAAAGTCGAGCAAATTGAAAAGGCCGAGGATGTAAAAAGACGAGCAAAGAGATGAAATTTAATCAATGATCATAAACGTGATTAAAATGACTGAGTGTTCGTCAAACATTCTCAATGTATTTAATATATTTAATTATTTTTTCTTGTATTTATTCTAGTAATACTTTCTAGTGATGTTATTCTAATATATGCAACATGATTATTCAGCACAATGATACTACATAATAAAAGATATTTGAAAAAATATTTTAATATATGTTTTCATCGAAGAAAATATACGGTTTTGCATATCATCCTTGTATGAGAACCATGTTCAATTTTCTCTGAATTGTTTTAATATCTGAAGAAATATCCCTCTCTAATATTTTCACATTTATTTACAAATATAAATTATCCACCTGTAACATTAAGGATCGACTCAACACCTTTTGCCTTCTTCTCGCTCATCCTTGTGTAAATTCAAGTTCATTTTGAAGACCGTGCCTAATGTAGCTGAAATCAAACCATAAGTCGGTCGATCGGTGCCACGTGAAAATGCGATTTCCACGACAGCAACATTTCCGTAGGAATTCCATCCTGAAGACGCCATCTTCTCCTCCCCCTTTCTCTCCCTTTCGCCACGGCAAATTAAGCTTCCCAAAACACCACGAAACTGTTAATTAAGACTCATTATGCGCGCTGCGGGGGATGGTTGCCTGGGATGGAAGGAAGGTGGCCGTAGCGGAGGATGAAGACCACGAAGAAGCCGGAGGAAGGGGTAGAAAGTGGCAGGGAGCGGAGATGGTAGGCGGGGGTGGTTTAACCCGAGTACGAACTTCTTAATACCACAGCTGTAGTCGGGTTCATTGTGGGATCAATACGGGGAGAACCCGTGGTAGTGGCAGGCCAAGTGCGATTGGCTCCAACAATTGGGCACGGCGATTGGCCAGCACCGGCACTACCAGGAGGCGGGTTCTGTCGCCACGAACCCAACATGTTGGGGTGGCGGAAAAGAGGAAGAGGACATGCGGCGTCGCCGCTCGCTCGAAAAGGACGGCGACGGGGACGGTTCAGAAAAAGACAGCGACAAGTTCCAGGGAGAGAGAGGGTGACACACGGTGTCGTGTCTGGGGGGTTTCAGTCTGTGTTCACCCATGAGAGACACACAACCAGCGGCGACACGCTCCGCTCACGTTGCGAGGGTGAGGGCTCGTTTTTCACTCGCCAACTGGTTGTCCTTTGCCATTTGTCTTCCGCGTTGAATTCAAACACATCGCGATCGGAGTCTTAGATTGGCGGAAAAATCCGTGGGATAAATTGTGAGACGAGTTGTACATGTCATCTTGGACTGCAGGTGGTCCTGCGTACGACGTATGAAATGAAGTGTCGAAAGCGGTGACAACAGTTTTTGTTACTAGCTAAGTGAAGTGACAATGAAGTGTTAATAACGAAAAAAAAATTAGACAGCGTGACAATTAGACAGTATGCTTTATCGAACTGCAATAGATAATTAAAATTTGTCAAGCTAAGACTCATGGAGAATATTGTGTGTGTCAGTACAAGTGATCTTATATGACAAGTTGTAGATCAGTGATAATTGATCCGTATCGAAAAATTTTGAAAAAAGATATCCGAAAGAAAAAAAGTTTTGGATAGAAAAGGAAACTTTACAAGTATTAATTATCGGCATAAGACAAATTCGGAAAAATTTCTGAAAGCAAGATCACAGAAGAAAAAAAGTTTTATGAGGACTGTTACCAGGCATATGCCTAGCATATGCCTTCGTTTATCTTGTCCATCTTCGTAGAATTCTTCGTAAGTAAGAGATATATATATAAGAGTAAGATATATATATATATATATATATATGTCGCAATTTGACATATCTAGCTGATGACAATTATCTGAGTCTTTTCGCATTTGCACAACGCGCTTACCAAGGCAAAAGAAAGGAGAGCGATCGACTTGTGCAACCTCTTGCATCGCTTCAGCTATCTTGAAGAATTAATTGCGTGTATTCATTGTAGTTCATTGGTTCTCGAGAAATAAGAAAGAACGCGTGGAATTGTTTATCATCTGCTAAAAAAATTCTGCTGCATTTTAATAAAAGTGGATAGAATTGTGTCTGGACGAAATTGATGAGCATATTTTATACTGTGATCAACGTAGATGCCTAATCTTTCGTAATTTAATTATTATTTCTTCTGTTTTCTTCGCGATATATGCATGAAGCATTTTGTGATTGTGATATAGCGCTGAAAAAAATTAAACATTTCTTTATAATAATATAACTAAACAAAAATAAGTTGTGATTTTGATGGATGAACGCACGCGAGACATATTTTAAAATTATAAATATCGGAATTAAGTATTATATAATAGAAATATGTTTATTATCATCCCTATGTGTTAATTTAGTGACTTGATAAATTTTTAAATAAACGTATCTCGGACAATCGAAATAATTGGTGTAAAAAGAATATAAAAGAGGACATGACTGTTAACAGCAGCATTCAACAACATACCATCGAATTTTTTATGAACTGCACAATATGCTGTTAATTACAGCGTTGATTTAATGTATCTGTAGATCGTGAATAATTTTAAATATTTCAAATAATATTTAAATCATTGATCGTGTCGAGCCATCGAAGAAAGTAAAATTATCCAAGATATACACATATATCTCTCAGAACAGTTGACAACAATATATTAAACTACTTCACTGTCGAATCTAGTGATTCCGAATGATTCTTCACGCTTAAGCCGATCGCGGTGCGCCATCGACGGAGTTGGAGGACGAGTTAAGGAGTGGTGTTATTCAAAAGGGTGGTGCGACGTTCGGGTACGCAAGTCTGCAGGCCAGCTCTGGGGTGCCGGGCCCGGGCGGGGTGATGAGCTGCTCCGATGTGATGTATCAATATTATCCTTATCTTTACCAGACCCACCGGCCACCGCCGCCGCATCCAACCCATCCCCATGCGGCCCCGCACAGCCATCCCCATGCCAATCCGCACGCGGCCCACCACAGCCCGGCTAGGCCGGCGCCCTTTCAACCCTTCCCGGCGGCTACGGCGACGCATCAGTATGACAGGGTGAGTCTACGTTTCTTTTATTTCGATCATTGGTTTAACATTCTTACCGGAATTCATTGGTTTTGAGATAAGAGAAACGCAAGCTTCTTGTCAATCTCAATAATTTGTATAAAAATCATTAATAAGTTAAATTAGAAATGATAATTATAAGTGATATAAAGTTACGAAGCTAATTCACACAGTCTCTCTCTATATATAATAATTGAAATAAGTAAAATAGATAGATTACTCGATTGATTGACCAATTTACTTAATGATGTTACGATACGAGATAAAATCTGTCGTTAATAGACGAGACAGAAAATTGTGCGAAGGTGCTAATAGAATACGTCAAAACGCCCACATTTTTAAGGTGGTTTATCAGCACAGTTTTATAACCCCGCTGTAGAACGCTTGTATCCTTAAACTGCCCAAAGCAATTAAAAACAGATCCGCCTGCGTTAGTCATTAAGTTTGACGTGTTTGGTAAAAAAAAAACTACGTCTCTATTTATGGCCAACAAACACTCTTTACTGCCATATAAATTAAATTAAGGAAATAACTTTATATATAACTTACATTTCTTACAAAATATATACTTTTTTTATTTATATCTTATATGGGAAATAGTACAATGATGGAAGAGAGAGAAAGAGTAAGATAAAATACATTGTTAAGGAAGGTAAATGTTTGTTTGATTCGAAATTTCGTATCATTTACATACAAACATGATTTAATTATGGCTAAAAATATTATATTTCTTTGAATTTTTGATACATTAAATTCTCTTGAATTCCTAATTCTCGGTCCTTTTTTTCTCGGTTTTTATTTAATCTGCCGACTCTCAGATCGTATAGCGAGTTCCCCGAGTTGCCGAATAGCAAGTAGTCCTTCGAATCACTCGATTCTCGAATCCTCGGTCCTTCGTATCCGCGAATATCGCCCAGTGGCCTTTCTTAGAAATCGAGGAACACTGTCACCGGAATAATATTGCGCCCAACTACGCTCATCCTGAAATAGTTTCGAGATCAAGACAAGAAGGAACTTTTCTCGGGTAACGCGTGGAATCGTCCGTGCATCATTTTAATTTGTCTGCTGGGAGATCAGGCGTGCTTCTGCATTCATGCACCCGTGCGTGCATCGTAGGGTGTCGAGCGCCGTTTCGCTATCTTTTCCGGCTCGGTTGGAAAGTAACGTTTCTTTTTTTTCAGTATCAAATCTCTTGCTTAGATAAAATTTAACTTGTAATTAATGATGCAAACCGAGAAATTCTTGAGAGCATTAGCTCTTCGGAAAACGAAGATATTTTAAGAATGAAAATGTGTGAGAAAATTTTTTTTTAGTATTTTTTAAATATTATTTGAGAGGGAGAGAGAGAGAGATAATTAGTATATATTATATATTACACTTCGGAAATGTTATCAAAAAGTAAAAAATTGTGTAATGGGAGATTCCATCTCTCTCATAAAATAAAACACATATCACATTTACAATCTCAATAAAATAAAAGCTTCTGAAATTTAGTGGCTGGAATGAGAAGAAGAAAAAGAAGGAAAAAGCGGGCTTTACATTTTTCAAAAGTAAAGTTAAAAATTGTGCAAAATTAAAAACTTTTGTAAAATTTAAAATTCAATCCTGGCAGAGGATATTTAGATTAATGCAATTTTTTTTTAGTTTTGTAAGTTTTATTTATAATTTCAGAATGCTAAAGATTTCTTATTTTCCTGGGTATTTGAAATCTTTAATTTTTCTAGTCTACATAACGTATGTAAATTCTTCTTCAGAAATTTATTTAAAATATAATTTTAGATTGACCAGAGTTTAATTAATCAAGGAAAGCCGGCTATCTCTCTTTCTCTTCTTCCAAGATATATAGTTATGAGCATCGTTGGCCCATTTATCTATCAATCTCCCAGCGACATTGTAGAAACACGAACGTCCCGACGTTCTCGCCACTTTTCTCTTTCTCTCCCGTGGTCTCGCGATCGCGAGATAACATCCGGCAAGAGCGTTAAGCGCGCGCGATACGAGCGAAGAGGAGGAAAGGAGGGAAAGCCGATCCCGGACAGCCAGACAGGACAGGTTCTCCACGAAGGAGGCTCCCCCGAGGGAAGAAGAGGGAGCGCCGAGGGGCTCACACCGGCTCATATCCTCGGGGCCCGGGTAGTTCACGCGAATGCGGCGCGA